TATTACAATAAATGTTAAAACAATTACATTTAAATGCCTTTACATTTTATTCCATAACATGACTAATTTACACACTAATATAACATTTTACACAAACAAACAAACATGAATTTCCAGTGACGTGAACTGAAAAAAATCGGACAAACATTTTCCTTATTGCAACTTGCGGCTTTATCATATTTTATTAGATACTTTCCCATGATAGTTATCTAAACGATTTATGTAACAAATGCTCACAATTATTTCTGAAATAAATAAATGAATAGGCTACTACAATGAATGTTAATGCAAATATATCTATTCATAAGACTTTTATATTTTGTTCCACAATATATATATATATATATATATATATTAATGTAAGTAGCTAAATAACTATCACAATGATGTGAGTTCACAAATCAGACAAACATTGTCCTTTGCATTTCAACTTACAACTCCAAAATTCATATTTATTAACTTCAGATCTAGAATAAATGATGACCAGAGTCAGAAATTCACCAGCCCAGAAGGTCACCAAAAATGGCAAAACTGCCTTAAATATTTAAAATGCTATTTTGATATATTTCAGAAATAGAGTGAAGTGCCTGCTTGCTATAACTGTATTGTTACTGTATTATTGTATTTTTAATATTCTACATTCAATAAAAGTTATCATAAACTTTGTAAGGTATGTATAATCACAGTGATTTATTTACCAAAAAAAATACATTCAAAATGTATGTAATATACTGAAAAATATGGGAACTTACCTCCAAATATATTTCTTGTAAAAGTAGTAAGTAAATAATTTTACTGTCAACAGTCTTGCAAATTGTCTTGACGTGTTTGCAAATTGATCAAGTGTTTGTTATGAACAACAAAAGAGGATGAATGAAGTGTAAATTAAGGTGTGGCATGTGTGACTTGCCCATTAGAGATCATAGAGCCCACTGACTTCAAATTTCACATTTGAGATATTACTATTGTTTGTCATTGTAGGCCATAATTACGCTAAGATTCAGAATGAGGAAAGATGACCAAGATCAGAAATTCACCAGGCCTTGGGGCAGTAAGGTGACCAAATGTGACAAAAATGACACGCCTACTGAAAACGTTAGGGGTTTTATATATTTCATAATATTTTGTTCATAATATTCATTTGTCACTACTAAATGCATGTTATGTTTAGTACAGTTAATACAATTCAAGTATATGGAACACATTATGTGTTATTTGTTAGAAATCATATGTCCATATTAAGGTAGAAATGAAAATCAATTCCAAAAGACAAATATTGCCCCTAAGTTAGCTTAGCCCATTCTGTACCAACAATACTGACTTTGGCCTTAGAGCAGCAGATCTGTAGATTAGCCATAATTTAAAAGATTTAATAGAAGAGCTACGCTTTATTGTTGTATTAATTATTTAAATAAGAGCATTCCAGTGCTGCTTAAAAAAAAAAAGTATTTTCATGTTCTAATAACTTGGGAAATATGGTATGGGGAAATATAATCACATTAATATTATTATAATTGTAAGGGTAAAAATCGTATAGACCTATAGGCATCTATGACTGGGGCCTATTCATATTAATAAAGGAGTATTTACAGCTGTGAAAGTGTATGAGTTGGCTCCATAGCAGCAATTGTATAAATTGATTGGGGCATATCAATCAAAGAGGTGTAAACACATTCATCAAACCTATTCACACCTACAACAAAAACAATCTTTTACTTTGATTATCACAAAATGTTGAAATTGAAATCTTTCTATTTCTTGTATGATATTAAGAATATACAGTATATGTACCTTTTTATGGTTGAGAGAATGTTCCAACACAAAACAATGTTTTAGTCCTAAACTAGCTACTTTTAGAATCACACCGTTTAATACAAACTATGATGAGAAACAGTGTGGCATGATCATAAATATCTATACTAATATTAAGTATTGTAACAATTCCTCTTTTGAAATACAGTTTTAAAACGTGTTTATTAAAACAACATTGTGGTTATACAAAACTTCAATACTTGAAATTAGTATATACACATAAAATAAAAAAATACATAGGATTTGTATATAATTTTTTCTTTAAATGTATATCCTGTAACAATACATAATTATAATGTATATTGTTATTGATAATAATAAATACAGATAATAATATAGGTAGAGAGAGTAAAATATTTGCTATGTACATATTTTATTATTGTTTAAATATTATTACATTTTTTATATTTTAAATTAAATAAAATTCATCATAAACATTGCAAGCTGAATGTAAAATGTATTTACGGACTTTAAATTAATTTAAATAAATAAATAAATACATGCATAAATAAATGTAATGTAATGTAAAGTAATGTAGGCTATGTAATATCCTAATAAAGATATGGTAATGTACCTGCAAATGTATTTCTTTTTCAAAAGTAGTAAGCCGTAATAGGCTACTTAAATTATAAGCCATATTTCTATAAACAATCTTACAAATTGTCTTGACATGTTTGCAAATTGATCAAGTGTTTGTGATGAACAATAAAAGATGATGGATGAATGAAGTGTAAATTAAGGTGTGGCAGGAATGAAGGTGTGACTTGCCCATTAGAGATCACAGAGCCCACTTAAGCTTTTAAGTGTACAAGTGTTAGGGCAGCCCCTTTCTGGACCTTTAGGTGGGCAGGTATAAATAGTGGCAACCTTCAGTTGTTGGTCAGTAGCAGTAACAAAGGATTCAGCTTGACCTATTAATTCTTACATTCTACAATCAAAAATCCTTGAAAGACATGTGGACTGACTGCATTGGTAAGAATTCCTTAAAAAAAAGAGTATTTATTTTAAGTAACTTTTGTGAAATATTATAATAAATATTTAGATATTTTTCAAGATATTTTAAGAATTTATTTTCTGGAATATGTATATAATTTATATCCACTTGATGCATTTGCAGACATGTCAAGACAATGAATAATTACATATATTTTTACTCTTACAGCTCAAGATGGAAACTCACAGGCCAGTAAGATTGCGGGCCGCAGGAAGAGAACCAGTTTCACCAAAGAGCACTTGGAACTTCTAAAAATGGCTTTCAGCGTGGATCCTTACCCTGGTATTAGTGTCAGGGAAAGTCTATCTCAAGCCACAGGCCTTCCAGAGTCACGTATTCAGGTATGTCAACATCAGTATAGAAAACAAACTGTTTTCATACATTTCAAAAAGTATAAAAATGTTAATCCATCAACATGCTAACATAACGGTGTTTTGTTTTTCCAGGTGTGGTTCCAGAACAAGAGGGCCAGAACCCTAAAGAACAGAACCACTTGGACCTCACCACAGCTGGATAGTACCTCTCCTCTGACCAGCCCTTTTCTACCCCCTCATATGGCCAGTGTTGGGGCCAATGGCCAACAGAGAGGCATTCAAGAGGCGTCCTTCAACATTCAGATGGCTCAAACATCTCCACAGCACTTTACCTTTCCTCCAACTGACTACAGCACACCGGCCATTAAGCCACGGCAAAACAGGCTGATGGGAACCAGCTCTTGTTCTCCCTCCCTTCCCTCTGATCTGCAAGTTGTGGCAGACAGCTGGAGCTCTGGAGGAAGCCCACAGTCCTCTCCTGAGTCTATATGGAATCGACCAGAGCAGAGTTTTGGGAATTCCTACAAGGATGAGAGCCATTTCTTTCTCTACCCACCACCTCCTTACCCTCATGGAAGTGCCAAAGTTGGGTGTGTTAGTGCCCTGGAGTCACTTCCCACCTCTCCTGCCTCTTCTGATTCTGCATTTTGGGACATGGGACTGGAAAACTGCTCTCCCTCTGTGCCATACACCGACTGTGGAAGCCCATGGGACAGACTCGCTGAGAAGCAGCCTGTGGCCCCGCTTCCAGATCTGTCCTCTCAGTATCTGGAGGATGTCCTTGGGGAAATGGAGCCAGCCTGGTGGAACTTCAATGGCCAGATGGATCTACAGTAATCTTGCAAACATCCATAACCTAAGGAGACAAAGGCTGTTTTAACATTGGCTTTAACTTGACTGGTAGGATTCTTTCTTTTGGACTGTATTATATAGGAAGCATGGTATTGTGCAAGTGCCGGTTACAGAGCAATATCAGATGTCCACATCAGACTTTTTATTTATATAATGGACTTTATTTATTTATATTTTCTACCAAGGAGTAGATTGGAAACAGTAGCCTATGGTTGCACCAGGAAGTAATTTAGAACTTATTTATTCTTTGTGCTCTTTTAAGGTATTGCAGTGCAGTTGGGATATTTATCCTACATTAAATTATGCTCACACAACCTATACTGTCACTTTGTAATATAATGCATATTTATTTTAAATAAAATGTTAAAATTTGTGAATTTGTGTCCTCTGAATTGCTTATACATTTAATTTTATTTATGTATTTATTATTTTCAGATATTACATAAAATAAGAATTGAATCTGAGGCATTGAGAGTTGAAAGTCAACTCTAGAGTTGAATAACACTAACAGTTGACTAACACGCCCAGACATATAACATTGACAACATACAGGGTGATTACTATGCCCGTAACAGTTTATAGTGATGATTTTGATTCAGATCAGTGACTCTCTTCACCAAAAAAAAAGAAGAGAGAGAATCATTTTCAGTGAGTCGGATTTATTCACTGATTCTCTCTCTGTAGGATTCTGTAGGATTCTCTCTTGTGTAAAAAAAATTACACAAGTGAGTCTTTGATTCGCTCAAAAGATCAATTCATTAAAAAAAATCGGTCATTCACTGAAAAGATTGAAATTATTCAAAACTCTTGACTCCATTTAAAACATTTCCCGCCACTATTCGACATTGCCATTTTACCTCAAAGAACGCATGCATGCATAACGAGTTTATGATTGGTTTCCTGTTGCTAAACAACTCGCTTTATCATTCGGTTTTACTAGCACGATAAAATAAATATCAAGGTAGGCTATCACAGTCCAGGGTTGAAAACAGATTAGGCTCATGTATGCGGAACGTGTGACACGGATTGTTCATTCTAGGGTCCTGTTTGACACGACACACTTTGTCGAACGTAACCACTTCCGCCCCTAACCGGAAGTGTAGCGCACGTGTAAACAGTGGATAGAGTCACGTTGTACGCCTGTGAAATGATAACATGAATTAACTTCTTGAATTCTGAGATCATATGTGCATCGGATTTAAATCAACTGTAACCACAAAAGGTGAGCCTCTATTTTCATGCCTAAAATGCACAGCGACTGCATTGATGGTCATTTAAAGACAAAGACGTCTTTATTACTGAATTATTCCAACGCAAAACGGATGATATTATATTAAATAACCATTAAGTTTAACAGTTGAACGTTGTAAGTATTTTGTTCGTTGTTCATGCATGTTTCCTTATATTTGATAGATGTTTAAAGGTTACCGGTGAGTTTGACTGTAGATACACATGATACAAACATGTGATTTATTCAGTTCAGTTAGTTTAATATTCACACTGTTGTGTTATTGGAAATGCGTAAGAAGTAATGCCATTCTGATCCTGAATGTTCAGTGGCTATTGTTTCAGACTTTGATTCCAAAGAATATACAATGTAAAAACGGTAGCTGTCACTTTGTGGCTCTTGACTGGTTTTCTACTAAAGCTAAGCAGGGTTGAGTCTGTTCAATAACTGAATAGGAGACACCTACATCACTCTGTGAAGTCAAAGATTATTGTTGATAATCTGTCTTAATCTCTGGACCCAGAAAAGCAAAGATGGAGAAGAAAGAACAGAAGCGGCACCAGCACAAGCACAGTGGACCCAAAGCACAGAAGAAGAACAGAAAGAAGGAGCAGGGCACTGAACAAGAGCAGGATGAGCGCAAGAGGAACCCACGAGCGTTTAGCGTCCAGTCAGCTGTGCGCATGGCAAAAACCTTCCATAGGTCAGTGCTCAGACAGCTTCATTTAACATTACCCATTATCCACTGTTCTTTCTTATGTTAATTTAACACAAAAAGTCCTGTGCTTATCTCTGTTGCCATGCACTTTCACTTTGCACTTTTGCTAGGAGAATTAGGTGTTATTTCATTGCTTTTTAATCTCTTTTAATATTGTTTTGTAGGGCTCAGGATATTAAAACAAAGAAACATCACATTCCTCTGGTAGACCGGACCCCTCTGGAGCCTCCACCTGTTGTTGTAGTGGTGATGGGACCTCCAAAAGTGGGCAAAAGCACCCTCATTCGATGCCTGATCAAAAACTATACACGGCAGAAGCTTTCTGACATCTGTGGACCTGTGACCATAGTTTCTGGTTAGTTTATGTATAAACTAATTAGATTTATTGCTGTAAAGTTGCTTTGCAATGATTTGTATCGTGAAAAGCGCTATACAAATAAACTTTAATTGAATTTATGACTCTTAGTTCCCATTTACACCTGTTATTACTTGGGTGTCACATATCAAAAATCGAATGTCACATTTATGGTGAGATTAAAACTGATTATATAGAATCGGTATGCTGTGAGGTGACTTTTTTTTTTGTTAATGTTTGTAGGAAAGAAACGCCGCCTGACCTTGATTGAGTGCAACAATGACATCAACAGCATGATTGATTTGGCAAAGGTTGCTGATTTGGTGAGTGCAGGCTTAGTTCCCATTTACACCTGTTATTACTTGGGTGTCACATCAAAAATCGAATGTCACATTTATGGTGAGATTAAAACTGATTATATACTGACGTACGTATATAGAATCGGTATGCTGTGAGGTGACTTTTTTTTTTTGTTAATGTTTGTAGGAAAGAAACGCCGCCTGACCTTGATTGAGTGCAACAATGACATCAACAGCATGATTGATTTGGCAAAGGTTGCTGATTTGGTGAGTGCAGGCCTGCATCATCTGCAAAACCGACCAGGATTAAACTCATGCAGCAGTTCATAGGGCTGTGCAAAAAATCGAATGCGATTGTTATGCGCATCTCATCTGTGATTAGTAGTAAATCTCCATCACCTGCTTTCAAATGGAGCAGCATTTACTACACATAGCCGTAGTTCACTGACAAGCTATGCAATATCGCGTTCATAATCGCAGGCGATTCATCGCTGTGTTATTACTTATGTTTTAATAGTGTTTTCCAATAAGGCAGTATTGACATTTTGACTTTATTAGGTTCTGATGCTGATAGATGCAAGTTTTGGCTTTGAAATGGAGACCTTTGAGTTCCTGAACATTTGCCAAGTTCATGGCTTCCCTCGAGTCATGGGGGTCCTCACACATCTGGACACTTTTAAGAACAACAAGACGCTCAGCAAAACAAAGAAACGCCTCAAACACCGCTTCTGGACTGAAGTTTACCAGGTATGTCAACAGCCTGATATATAACTGACATATCACTAAAGAGGACTGTCTAGTGTCTGAACATAAAAGTCTTACAGGGTGCCAAGCTCTTTTACCTGTCTGGAATGGTGTATGGAGAGTACCAGACACAGGAAGTTAAGAATCTTGGGCGGTTCATCTCAGTCATGAAGTTCAGACCTCTTGTTTGGCGGACCTCTCACCCATATGTGGTGGCTGACCGGTGAGTGAACTTAAGTGTTTCTTTTATTTATGATTTTTCTAAGCGTATGTTGCCTTTTATTATTACCAACAATTATTTGATTGATTTTTTTTTTTTCTTCTTTTTTCTGGACAGTATGCAAGATCTTACTGATCCTGAGGCTATTAGGTTAAATCCCAAATGTGACAGAACCGTCTCTCTGTACGGCTACCTACGTGGGACATTCTTGAAGAATAAATGCCAGGTCCACATTCCTGGTAAAATATAATTTATGTCTGCCAGATTCTTTATAGATATTCAGGGTTTTTTTGCTGACAGGTTTTGCTTCAGGAACCAGATTTTACATTGTACATGTGGCAATCCAATATTTTCAGTTTTACAAAACTGCGTTTGGACAATTTTAATTATCTTTTCAGCTAATCATTTGCTGCACAAAACACACTATGGTGAGTGCAAAAAGTAATTGCTGCAAGAGAACCGAAATTTAAATTTAATCGGTGTTTAATCGGAACCAAATCAGCATATTAAAATGGTTTCTGAAGAATCATGTGACACTGAAGACTGGAGTAATGGCTGCTAAAAGAATCAACTATTCCATCACATTAATAAATTATGTTTGAACCTAGATTAAAATAGAAAATGGTTTAAATTGTAATACTATTTCACAATATTACTGATTTTAGATCAACCAAATGCAGCTTTGGTGAACATATGAGACTTCAAAAACGTTTGAACATTATTGTATTTATTTTGCTGTGCTAATTGTACATGATTAAATGGTCTAGAACTACTGATAATTGTGATGTAATTCCCTTTATAGGTGTGGGTGACTTCTCTGTGTCGGATGTTAGCTTCCTCCCGGACCCCTGCCCTCTTCCGGAGGTGATTAAGAAGAGAGCGTTGAATGTAAAGGAACGGTTATTGTACGCCCCCCTGGCTGGCGTAGGGGGATTGGTGTATGATAAGGACGCAGTCTACATCGATATGCCCAGCGGACATGCCAGCCGGCAGCAGGTCAGATTTCAGTCGCAGCACGTCCCGCCATGACAGCATTACCTACAGTAGATTTAATACCAAACGCAATAATGTCTGCAGTTTACAGGGTAGTCACAGCATATTACACCAACTAATAACACTTTTTACACTCAATTTTGTTCCATCAGTAAATACGACCTTGAGGTTTAAAGACGATTTGTGATCTGATGGATGTTAAGTGTTTTAATGGTGTGAGAAATGTCTGTTCCAGGAGGAGGTGCGGCCCACCACTGAACTCGTTCAGTCTCTTATTGGCACACAAGCCACTTTGGATGCAAAAATGGCTGCCAGCAAAGTCTCACTGTTCACAGGAACTGCTGCACTGACACCAGAGGAGGTGCAGGAAAATGAGTACGTTTTGCTAAACAACCCTGATTATATTGTTGTAATGTTTACAAGGATGGCCCCAGTACCTGAGCACCCAGAAGTGACAGCAATGATTGATGATGAAAACAAATGTTGGCTTTTTTTCTGGTCACACTTTATTTTAAGGTCCAATTCTCGCTATTAACTACGACTTTTGCCTCAATAAACTCCTAATTTGTTGCTTATTAATAGTTAGTTGTTAAGTTTAGGTATTGGGTAGGATTAGGGATGTAGAATATAGTCATGCAGAATAAGTGCTTTATAATAAACAGCCAGTATTTTAATAATAGGCATGCTAATACGCAATTAGTTAATAGTGAGAATCGGTCCCTATACTAAAGTGTTATCTTTTTTCTTATGCACTTGTTTGACGTTCTCTGAATTAATCGTCAGGAAACAGAACCCTATGGAAAGCCGAGAATGGGATGAGAATGCACAGAGAGAGAGGAGGAGAGCTGTTTTTGCTGATGAAGATGAAAAAGATGATGATGAGGAAGAAGAGAGTGATGAAGCGGAGGAGGAAGAAGAGGAGGAAGAAGATGAGGATGAAGAGGGGCTGACAACACTAAAAAAGGTAGATGAGAAAGCAGATGAGACGGCAGCACCTCCTGTGAAGAAACAGAAGATTAAGGAACCCATGGAGATGCCTGCATTTGCTGATAGTGATGATGAGCTGGAAAAGAGTGAAGGAGAGGAAAGTGAAGAGGAGGAGGAGGGCTGACATATTAAATTCATGCATTGGGGGGGGGGGATAAGGCACAACATAAGGAACAACATAAGGATCAGCATTAATTTACATAAAGCAAATAAATCTCTGGGCTATAATGAATCTGCTATACGTATGTTTGTCAGTGGCGGAGGAAGAAGAGGAGGATTCTAATGATGAAGAAGAGTTGGGCGGTTTATTTAAAGTCAGTCGACCAGAGAGAAGTAAGAAAGTACGAGCAGATGCAATGGACTGCTCTCGCTTTCAGCCAGACAGCAGCCATGACTGGGATCAGGAGGAGGTGAGATGCAGTATAAAATCACACTTGCATATACATGTAAATGTTTTTGCATAATGCATGCAAATATGCCATTTGTTGTCTATGTCCTTTGCATTTTCTTAAGAACTGTGTATTTTCAGATGCTAGCCTCTATCAGGGACTGTTTTGTGACTGGAAAATGGGAAGAGGATAAAGATGCTGCAACACTGCTTAAGGAAAATGGTAATAACACTAAATACAGACTTGGTATCAAGACACATGAAATTTCACTGGCTGGATATTGACCACTGAAATTGTGGTACTATGACACTATATTATATAATGTATTTCCTCCCTTTTGTTTTATTAGACGAACTGTATGGAGATTTTGAAGATTTGCAAACAGGAGAAGTTCACAAAGCAAAGACTGGGAATAAAGACAAAGCTGAGGTGTAAAAATCTAACTAGTTTTTAAAGCATTATCATGTGATTTGCATCTGACAAATTCTTGTGGAGCTTTTTATTTATTGCTTATTTGTTATTTAAACAGGAAGGGAATGATGATGAAATAAAGGGTGATGGTGGTGATGATGATGATGAAGAGGAGGAGGCTCCTCAAGTGAAACTTGACGATGATGAAGTTCAAAAGAACAAGCGTTTGGAGAAGAAGAGGCGGCTGAAGGAGAGGTTCGATGCACAATATGATGATGGCGACGCCACATACTTTGATGACCTGAAGGAGGAGATGCAGAAACAGGCTGAGGTCAGAGGTCAAAGTTGAGACAAGATCAGCCTCCTTGTAGAGGAGAGCAAGAAAAGTGTTTTTTGTTCCTTTTATAACCTAAATTAGCCTAAAGCATTTCAATTTTAGATTCACTTATTTATTTTTATTTGTGTTATTAAATTTAAGCAATGATACAAAGCTGGATGCATTTCTTTGTTTCTCTGGAATACAAAAGAAGATATTTTGCAAAATGTCCCAGTGTTTTGTCCATATAATTATAATTTTTTTGGTCAAAAACAGCTGAAATGTTTTTCAAAATATCTTCCTTTACTCATTTAACATGAGGGTAAAATATAATAACAAAATTTAAATTTTTAGGTGAATTCTCCCTTTAAGCGAGCGTTTTATTTTATTGAAAAATTATATTTATCATTTTTATTTATTTGTTTCTGTGTAGTTGAACAGGCAAGAGTTTGAAGACGTGGATGATGAAGTCCGTGTTCAGTACGAGGGCTTCAGGCCAGGCATGTATGTTCGTGTGGAGATCCCTGCTTTACCTTGTGAGTTCGTCACCAACTTTGACCCCCACTATCCCATCGTTCTTGGTGGATTGGGCCCCAGTGAGGGCAATGTTGGCTACTTGCAGGTAAGTCTGAAGGGAATTATTTTACTCTCTCATAGTGCATATTTTACAACATCTTAATTGCATATTTTACAACTTCTTGTGTAGTTGATAACCTTGTGAATAAAGTGAAGGGCTCTTGCTTTAACTCCAAGCTTAATGTCATTACAAGTCTGGACTGGGGAAAAACATTCAGGTCCATTCTTTATCTCCTCTACACAGATGCGTCTGAAGAAACACCGCTGGCACAGTCGTATCTTGAAAACCCGTGATCCTCTCATCCTGTCTTTGGGCTGGAGGCGCTTTCAGACCATTCCCCTCTACTACATCGAGGACCATAACGGACGTCACCGCCTGCTCAAATACACACCTGAACACATGCACTGTGGTGCCACCATCTGGGGTGAGAGACAAACCTTACACACCTCTAGTATTTAAAGGGTTGCTCCACCCCAAAATGAAAATTTTGTCATTAATCACTTTAGCCCCATGTCGTTCCAAACCCCGTAAAAGCTTTGTTCGTCTTCGGGAACACAATTTAAAGGGGTCATATGATGCGATTTCAATTTTTCCTTTCTCTTTGGAGTGTTACAAGCTCCTGGTGCATAAAGAAGATCTGTTAAGTTGCAAAGACTAAAATCTCAAATCCAAAAAGATGTTCTTTATAAAAGTTAAGAGTTAACCACACCTACCTAAAACGGCTCGTTCTAACACGCCCCCACATATCTACGTCACTATGTGGGAAGATTTGCATAACACCGCCCAAATGTTCACGCAAAGAAAGAAGGCATAACTTTTATTCTCGCTGTAGTATTGTTGCTGCCGCCATGTCGTGAAGACGTTGTGTTCTGCATTGTGAAAGCGAAACTACTTTGTTTGGTCTTCCAAAAGAGGACGATATCTGCTTCGTCATGCCTGGAGCTGATCCGTGCTGGTCGCAGAGGAAATACATCAACTTAGTGCTGCTCAGCTCACGCTTGCCCGCCGCCCCAGCTCACGCTAGACCGCCGTCTCAGCTCACGCTTGCCCGCCGTCTCAGCTCACGCTTGCCTGCCGCCTCAGTTCACGCTAGCCCGCCGTCTCAGCTCACGCTTGCCCATCGCCGGCTGTTCTGACTTAGTCTGTAAGTACGTTTTAATTTAAAGGATTTGCCACTGATGATTCAAACGCGAATTTTGAGCAGTGTAGCGTAACATTAGTGCTTGTTTGTCATTTCAGATCACAAATGCAGACATGGTTTTGTTTACGCGGCACGATGCAACGCAACACGTAAAAAGACCGTATAAGTCATTATAATTCGTAATTATGTCCCCACTGGATGCAACAAATGCCTCGTTTATAATGGGTTTTCATGTTTTTTGTCTTGTCGCTCCGGGAGACGGCATCAACAGTATGGTGAGGGGCGTAACATTTCCGCCTCATGCTTGAGGTATTCGGCCAATCACAACACACTGGATAGATGGCCAATCACAGCACACCTCGCTTTTTCAGACCGATGAGCTTTGTAAAAATCGACTCGTTTCAAAAAGGCGGGGCATAGAGGAGAAACAATAATGTACAATGTGGAAAATAATGTGTTTTTTTAACCAACCAAATAGACAAAATATATTGTTCTTTTTAGCAGCATCATATGAAGACTTTTACATTAAGGCCCAATCCCAATTCTATTTTATACCCCTTCCCCTTGTCTCTTGAAACAGAGTGTCAAGGGTTAGGGGTGAAAATATTCCCCTAAGAATTGGGACACCACTACTATGCCGTCACACGTCATCATATGTCGTCTAGATCCTACAATACACACACCTATACTGGTGTGCTGGTGTGCATTAGAGCCTTTAATTATCGTTCTATATTAATGCGCTGCTTACTGACACACAAACACGCACACACAAACACACATATCAGAGATCGCGCAGCTCACACATCCAGGAGAAAAGACACTTGTCAACGCTGCCCCACGACTTTTATTAATAACAGTTTAAAAACTGAATCGCTACATTTTATTTCCCAGCAACGAGAGAATAAAATCGCTGTTTTTGAAGTAAACTCACTCTATAAAGAGAAACGCATAGAAGCGCATAACTTTCATCTCTCTCTCTGTCTTTCTCTCGAATTGGCAATATTTGAGAAAAGGGTTTAGCGATTTATAATTATTGGGGGTACTGCCTCAGTTCACGCTAGCCCGCCGTCTCAGCTCACGCTTGCCCATCGCCGGCTGTTCTGACTTAGTCTGTAAGTACGTTTTAATTTAAAGGATTTGCCACTGATGATTCAAACGCGAATTTTGAGCAGTGTAGCGTAACATTAGTGCTTGTTTGTCATTTCAGATCACAAATGCAGACATGGTTTTGTTTACGCGGCACGATGCAACGCAACACGTAAAAAGACCGTATAAGTCATTATAATTCGTAATTATGTCCCCACTGGATGCAACAAATGCCTCGTTTATAATGGGTTTTCATGTTTTTTGTCTTGTCGCTCCGGGAGACGGCATCAACAGTATGGTGAGGGGCGTAACATTTCCGCCTCATGCTTGAGGTATTCGGCCAATCACAACACACTGGATAGATGGCCAATCACAGCACACCTCGCTTTTTCAGACCGATGAGCTTTGTAAAAATCGACTCGTTTCAAAAAGGCGGGGCATAGAGGAGAAACAATAATGTACAATGTGGAAATAATAATGTGTTTTTTTAACCAACCAAATAGACAAAATATATTGTTCTTTTTAGCAGCATCATATGAAGACTTTTACATTAAGGCCCAATCCCAATTCTATTTTATACCCCTTCCCCTTGTCTCTTGAAACAGAGTGTCAAGGGTTAGGGGTGAAAATATTCCCCTAAGAATTGGGACACCACTACTATGCCGTCACACGTCATCATATGTCGTCTAGATCCTACAATACACACACCTATACTGGTGTGCTGGTGTGCATTAGAGCCTTTAATTATCGTTCTATATTAATGCGCTGCTTACTGACACACAAACACGCACACACAAACACACATATCAGAGATCGCGCAGCTCACACATCCAGGAGAAAAGACACTTGTCAACGCTGCCCCACGACTTTTATTAATAACAGTTTAAAAACTGAATCGCTACATTTTATTTCCCAGCAACGAGAGAATAAAATCGCTGTTTTTGAAGTAAACTCACTCTATAAAGAGAAACGCATAGAAGCGCATAACTTTCATCTCTCTCTCTGTCTTTCTCTCGAATTGGCAATATTTGAGAAAAGGGTTTAGCGATTTATAATTATTGGGGGTACTAGCCCCCCTCAATGTCTACGGTGGTTATCGCCCTGATCAGACATTAAAATATGTTGTGGCACTATCGTGCAGTCTGCAATGATATGACGTTAGTTAGCAAATATTAGCGATTTTTTGCAAACATTTCTTTGAGTAACATGACCGTAAATATGAACTCACGATTGAATGTAACATAAAACAAATGATTACTTTTCGTTAAAATCTTTATTAATGCTAAAAATGCTTGTGTCTTTTTGTTCGCTCGCGCAGCCATGCTGCCCCTGAAGCCGGTTTACACTGAGATAATTCATACCCATTCGTTTGAAGTGTGGTCCCGAAAAATCTTCATTTGAAGGGCTGTCTAGCCCTTCCCCTACCCCTACCACTCCAACCAAAAGAGAATTGAGACACCCCTACCCCTTCACGTGAACGTGCGAAACGGAGGGGTAGGGGGAAGGGCTAAGGGGTAGAATTGGGATTGGGCCTAAATGTTCCCTCCTGGTGGAATGACCTGCCCAACTCAATCCAAGTCCTTAGCCATCTTCAAGAATTGGCTAAAAACACATCTCTTCCATCTTTATTTGACCCTCTAACTCTAGCACTCTCTATTCTAATTCTATTCTTTAAAAAAAAAAAACTTGCTCCTTTTAGACTTGCACTCTTTTCATTTACTAACTGCTTGTTTTCTATAAAAAACTAACAAAAAAATAAATAACACTAGCTTCTCTATTCTTTTTTTATTCTATCTGTTTTCTTTTTATTTATTATATAATAAAAAAAAACTTGCTACATGTACTACGTTAAGCTAACTGAGACTTGTTATAGCACTTGCATATCATTGCTCTTTTGTTGATTTTGATTGCTTCCATTGTCCTCATTTGTAAGTCGCTTTGGATAAAAGTGTCTGCTAAATGTAAATGTAATGTAAATGTCTACACATTGAAACTACAGCTCCAAAATGTATTTACCAAACAGTGCAATGTTTCGACCAGTCAGGTCTTCATTATAGGCAAAGTTCCTGTTCAAAAACCATTCAAATGATTTCTTGTTTAATAACATTCAACACATTTTATTCAAAAGTATTCCTCTACAAATTGAACACTGACCAAATTAAAGAACTACACGTCTCATTTACAAACTCTGGGCATACTGACATTTCTCACAAGTGGCTTCCTTCAATTCACTCTCTTTAAGTGGGTGAACAAGTGAAGTGCTGATGAGGGTGTTGATTTCTGGACACATTCTCCCACTCATTTTGGCCTGCTGCTAATTTCTTTGACAATTGTCCCTCTTGTCTGCTTGCTCAATTTGATAGGATGTCCTGATCTTAGTAGTGTCTGGATCCCCCCACCCCAATAGATTTTACAGTGCTTAAGTATTGGCAGTCTTTATTACTCAGGAAAAACATATAAAGCTGAACCCCCCCCCCAAATAGTATGTATTAGCAACTTTAAAGGACATATAAGGCCTAGTACTTTAAAAGTAGGCTACCCATTAGTACATAAACTGTACATATTAGTATCTTTTGACAGTGACGGTGACAGTTATGTACCTTTTTTTCCTGAGAGTGCAACTTTCATCTCCTAACAATTTCATCTCAAGTTCACATTCTGGCATTCATGACAGTAGAGCAGATCTAATATGATTAATGAACACTTTAAATATGAAGTTTCAATTTGCTTGACTTTGCAACACAATGTGCCTTTCAGCAGGCACTGTATGTATTGCAAATGAACAAGCTTAATTTGATTGCTGTCTTCTCTTTTTCATTGAAGAAACAGCTGATACAAAACTAATGGAAGATGGCATATAATCCCAGAAACTGAAAATTTGCAGAAATCTATTTGTATTTCTGCTTATCAGAACTAATTAACTACTGTATTACCCACATTCACAGTTTGATTAGGCTAAATTCCAACGTTTCCCACAGAAAATAGGAATCTCGCTCCCTCTAGTGGTTTAACATTACAACAACACAACATTGAGTGTGGACAAAAAATAAATATAAAAATAACTAATTAAAATAGGTAAATAAGTGTACATCTATGAAATTATCTAACTGCTGTAGAATAAATACAAACCGGTCTATTCAAATACATATGTAAATAAATAAATACAAATTCAAATAAAAATATTTTTATACAGTGGTGGGATGTTTAAACAGCTTGGCTGTAGATGGCAATATTGTATAGTTTGTTATATATCACGCATGACGTAGCAAACTAAACTCTGCAAAGACATTTGCTGTCTGTGCACCATTCTGAAGATGCCCATATTTATTCCACATTTGGAGCACACTTTCAGTAGTCATTAGTCAGTGCTCAGAAGGTTAGCCATTTTTTTTGTTCGCTCGCGCAGCCATGCTGCCCCTGAAGCCGGTTTACACTGAGATAATTCATACCCATTCGTTTGAAGTGTGGTCCCGAAAAATCTTCATTTGAAGGGCTGTCTAGCCCTTCCCCTACCCCTACCACTCCAACCAAAAGAGAATTGAGACACCCCTACCCCTTCACGTGAACGTGCGAAACGGAGGGGTAGGGGGAAGGGCTAAGGGGTAGAATTGGGATTGGGCCTAAATGTTCCCTCCTGGTGGAATGACCTGCCCAACTCAATCCAAGTCCTTAGCCATCTTCAAGAATTGGCTAAAAACACATCTCTTCCATCTTTATTTGCCCTCTAACTCTAGCCCTCTCTAATCCAATTCTAATCTTTAAAAAAAAAAAACTTGCTCCTTTTAGACTTGCACTCTTTTCATTTACTAACTGCTTGTTTTCTATAAAAAACTAACAAAAAAATAAATAACACTAGCTTCTCTATTCTTTTTTTATTCTATCTGTTTTCTTTTTATTTATTATATAATAAAAAAAAACTTGCTACATGTACTACGTTAAGCTAACTGAGACTTGTTATAGCACTTGCATATCATTGCTCTTTTGTTGATTTTGATTGCTTCCATTGTCCTCATTTGTAAATCGCTTTGGATAAAAGCGTCTGCTAAATGACTAAATGTAAATGTAAAAAAACTTTATAGAATTTTAATAGGGTCCATTTATGAATAAATGGCCATGGGGATAATTATCAGCATATTGATGTTTTCATGATAGTACTTTTTTTTTTGTCTAGGGCACCTCCATATTTAAGAGCAATTTGGTACAATCTCGCTGACTGTCCATTTAGTAGTTGTGAGGCTCTACTCTGTTTCTCGCTTCTATTTTCTTGTCATCTCATGCACACCCCACTCTTTCTCTCTACTCTTGTACAGGACCTATAACACCCCAGGGTACAGGCTTCCTGGCTGTGCAGACGGTCGGAGGTATTAAGGTAAGACACCAGCATATGATGAGAGCGCAGGAGCAGCCTGGGTCACAGCTTCAGTCAGAGTCCCCAGTCCGACAACCACAGCCAAATGAAAGGCTTCCCTTTTTTCTTGGACTCATCCTATCTTATTTCCCCTCAGGCCAATTTCCGCATCGCTGCCACAGGAGTGGTTCTGGACCTGGACAAATCAGTTACAATTGTGAAGAAGCTCAAACTGATTGGATACCCTTATAAAATCTTTAAGAACACCTGCTTTATCCAGGTAGGGAGTCCTGCAGAGTCAGGAGTTTATCTGTAGCGTAGCAGCACAGCTCACCAGGGAACTATAGAAATGTACACCTCATGCTATCTCTGAATAATTGGACCCTCTCATCTTTGGTTATGACTTTCTCTCTTTTTTTTTTGCAACTCTAAGGGAATGTTTAACACCGTCTTGGAGGTTGCGAAGTTTGAGGGAGCGTCCATCCGCACAGTCAGTGGCATTAAAGGGCAGATAAAGAAAGCCTTGCGCACCCCGCTGGGCGCCTTCAGAGCCACGTTTGAGGACAGACTACTTATGAGTGGTGAGTCAGACTTGTTTTTCTATTTATTAATTTTTTTTGTTTCTGCAGTATTTATTTATTTGAATTTTTATATAATGAGCTGTGCTTAGGGAGTTCAATGTGCTTTATTTATCAGAAAAGTCTGCAAATGTAATGACTCCCAAGAATCTCGGTTGTACATAAGCAACCACCTTGTTAAAATGGAGGGGTATTATTACTGATTATTATGCTCCTCTCTGGAGAGACGCGCATGTGGAAAATCCTGCAGTGAGGCAGTTTGCGTATTCGAGGCTTATTAGGTCTACTGCATCTTTTGTTAGATGATCATTGTTTTTATTAGGGCTGCAAAATTAATCAGAATAATAAATGGGAATCATGTTATGGCCTTGTGCGGTTGTTAAACTGCAAAAGGCTGTAATTTAATCAAAATGTGACATGTGAGTATGCTTGCACTATGTGTTTCAAAGTGAAGGTGGATCACTCTGCTTTCTGTATTGTGCTACATATAGCTTAATCCAAGCACAAGCAAAAGACATTTTGCATAATTTCAAGCATTATTACATATTACAAAATTACATATACGAATCCAAATAAAAATTTGCAATGGGGAGCACAATACAGGTGATTTTCCTCAGTTTCCAACTAAGGATATATAATTTTTCTTGTTTACTACTACTGAAAATACTTGTTACAATCATAACAGTAGTTTGTCTATAATAACAACAGTTTATTATTATTTTATTATCAATAGTTATAATAATAATTTAGCATGGTACTTAAATAGTATAATATACCTTTCTATATACACTCGTTCAAAAGTTGGTATGATTTTTTAAATGTTTTGATCAACAAGGCTACATTTATTAAATAAAAAATACAGTAAAATTGTAATATTGTGTAATCCTACAATAATATTTTGAAATATTATTACATTTTAATATACCGGTTTCCTGTTTTAATATATTTTAAAATTCAATTTATTCCTGTGATGGCAAAACTGGATAAGTATTTTTCAGGATTATTTGATTAAATAGAAAGTTCAAAAGAACAGCATTTATTTGAAATACATTTTTTTTGTTACATTACAAAAGCCTTTAAAATAATCAAAAACGGTGTACAGTCATTGGATTTCTGGTCCATTATTCCCTCATTTTTTTTTAATTTTTTTTTTGGTGACCCAGGCAAGTTTTTATATTATAGACACTGCTTGGTAAAACTTTTGGGGTCAGTACTTTATTTATTTTTTTAAAGAAATTAACACTTATTGAGTAAAGGATGCATTAATCTGATCAAAAGTGACATTAACTAATTGCTCCACCAATTTAAGATGTTAAATCTTTATCACATTTGCAATTCAAATCACAAAGAAAATATTTTGTAGCAAATATTGCAGCCATAAATTTGATATGAATATGTGTAGATATTGTGTTCCTGCGCTCCTGGTATCCGGTCTTGGTTCCTCAGCTGTATAATCCAGTGACGTCTCTGCTGATGCCGGTTGGACAGAAGGACACATGGGCAGGCATGAGGACCCTCGGACACCTTAAACATGACCTGGGTATCCGCAACAAACCCAACCAGGACTCACTGTACAAGGTAAGCCCTCTTACAGAAAAGCTGAGTCACCAGTGACTATTACTATTATTCGCTGTTGTCCTCTTCATCGTCCACTCTGTCTTTGAATCCCTACAGCCGGTTGTGAGGCAAGTTCGACACTTCAACACCCTCCACATTCCCAAAGAGCTGCAAAAGGCCCTCCCCTTCAAGAACAAACCCAAACAGATGCAGGCCAAAGGCAAAACCCCGCGGGACCTGCAGAGACCGGCTGTCGTACGAGAGCCCCACGAGAAAAAGGTGCGCGCTGTCAGACTTGTCCATCTCGGTTTTACATATGTCATGCTTTTGTAACTCCAGTGAGCTTTTTTACTGTCATTACACAAAGATAGTTTTAATATCCACTATTAGACTAAAGTTAATCCACCAAGGAAGCCTCCAGAGTGTTGGCTGTGAAATATCATATTTCTTTAATCCATGTCCCTGGCAAATACCAAGACGGCTTGCTGGCCAATTTCTTTATCAATCCCCTTTGAAATCCTCCTGTTTGAAAGATGACACAGGGGGTTACATTTTTAATCAATTTCTTCTCCTACTCCTTGTTCCAAGATGTGCTAGGCATTGACATGAGAAAGTAATAAAGAGTTTTTATAATCGTCATTTAATCAGCAAGACTTTTTTTTTTTTTAATCATTCCTTTAGGTTGGTGTATTAATTCTTACAACTAATAGGTTTTATTCAGTTACAAAACAGTAATTACATGGACAAGTCGCTGAAAGTTTAAATTGCAAGGCTAGGAGCCTATAACTCCAATTCTTTGGTTATTCTCACTCTCTATTGGATCTGAGTCTTTTTGTGAGGATCCTGGCCTGTTAACCAGCAAAGAAATAGTTCACCCAAAAATAAATAAATAAATAAAATAGAGGGGAAAAAAAATTCACATACATTATGACATCAAGAAAGCTGTTTATGTAGAAAAAAAATGTAGAAGATAAAAATATTAAGACAAAGAAGTTTTTATGTACAGTACTGTGCAAAACTCTTAGGCCACTAGTATTTTCACCAGCTAGTAAATGGTTTAAAGTCAGTTATTTCTATCTTTTGCTGTAGTGTGTCCGTAGGAAATATCAGTTTACATTTCCAAACATTCATTTTGCTATTAATTGTAATAATCCATAATCCAGATCATCATCATCCAGTCTGTCTGGAATGACATGAAGAAACAGAACAAACTGAGATGGACTAAATCCAGAAGAACTGTGGCAACTTCACCAAAATGCTTTAAGAAACCTACCTGCAAAGCTACAGTACTGTTATAATCCAGATCATCATCATCCAGTCTGTCTGGAATGACATGAAGAAACAGAACAAACTGAGATGGACTAAATCCAGAAGAACTGTGGCAACTTCACCAAAATGCTTTAAGAAACCTACCTGCAAAGCTACAGTACTGTTAAACGTTTTAGGCACTTGTGTAAAAATTGGTATAAAATGAGGGTGCTGTCAAAAATAATGTCGTAAATAGATTTATTGATCAATTAACTTCTATTTACTAAATTAAATCAACATTTTGTGTGACCATCCTTTGCGTTTAAAGCAGCTTTTGCTCTAGGTGCACTTGCGCATAGTTTTTCAGGTAGCTTTGCAGGTAGGTTTCTTAAAGCATCTTGAAGACGTTGCCACAAAACTTTCATATTTTGTTTTCTAATTCAGTCAAGTTCATATTTTGTTAAAAGTGATTATTTTTAAGTGTCCAGGTCCAAGTGTCCTTTTGGAGGCCACTGTATGTTGTCTGGTTTCAGCTTATAAATATGACCTCTCCACCTTTTCCACCAGGTGGCATTTCATATTTTGTTTTCTAATTCAGTCAAGTTCATATTTTGTTAAAAGTGATTGATTATTTTTAAGTGTCCAGGTCCAAGTGTCCTTTTGGAGGCCACTGTATGTTGTCTGGTTTCAGCTTATAAATATGACCTCTCCACCTTTTCCACCAGGTGGCAGCATTGCTTGATGCTCTGAGCTCAGTCTACGCATACAAGAACAAGAAGGCGAAAGCAGAACAGCACGCCAAGCACAAAGAATTCCTGAAGCAGAAAGAAAAACAGGATGCAGAAAGGCAGAAGAGGCTGAAAGAGGAGAGAAAGAAGACCTACCGTGCAATGGGACAGAAAGAGAAGAAGAAACTCAAATCCAGCCTGAAGGGAGCATCCAAGGACAATTGAGTCTACCTCACACCTGATTCTGTTAGACTGTGACACCAGGCCCATTGGATCAGGGTCTGTTACGCTCTTGGTTAGACTGTTTGAAATGTGCCATAATTCGATTCCCACACCGGCTGCTGTTACTGAGCTGGCTCAAGAGTCGAGATAATGATACTGCAGGAGACCCGATGGGTTTTGCTGAAGTCTTTAAAAGATACAATCTCCCTAGAAACAAGAACAATAAAACTGCCTGGTTAACTTTTAGTGAATCTGAAAGGATTTTCTATAAAAATATGGCAATGCTTTACAATAAGGTTCAATTTGTTTATATTAATGTATTAGGTATGATGAACTAATAGTGCACATTTACAATCTGGATGAATTCATAAATATAAAATTTTTTCATTTTTAATTCATAATTGTTAATACATTAACAAATGTTCATTTGTGCAACTTGTTAATGTATTAGTACATACAGTATATGTATAAATTAACCTACATTAATAAATGCTTTAAAATTATTGTTCATTGTTAATTTATTTACTGTTGCATTCACTAATATTAATAAATTGAACCTTTTTGTAAAATCCAACCAAAAAGATCCATAATGCATCAAAAATATATACAGCCATTTCTTACTGAAACTGCTTGTACTTGTTTTATTCTGCTTGTTTTTAATAAAAATCGTTGTGTGACTGGAAAAATGGGAAGGAAATTACATTTGTTGTCAGATAAAAGGGTGGGATGCTTGTCAACATTCAGTGGCATGAGCTTGTAATGAATTCTTGAGCAGGGGCTGTAGGCGCCCACTAGTGTTCTCTGTAATAGCCTAGTTTTTGGCACGTACATTTTGTCCTGGGCCCTGTTATTTTAAGCGACAACCCTGTTTTTAGGGCTTATTACCGAATTGGAGTGAATTTCTGTGCTGTTGTGGGCTATTGAGTCAGATATAATCCGTTGCCTGCTGCTGAGCACTTTCCAGAATATACATTGTTGTTTTTCTCACAAAGCAAAATGGCGGGTTGATGAAAAATCTATGAATAGCAATTGAACTGCAATATGTCAGCATCGGGTTGTATGGACAGATGTTCAGTAGTGCGGGGAGTGTCTCCATATGTGTGATAGCGATTTATTGATGGGGGTGATTAAGCATGTGAGGTGTTTTGGTGTCTTCAGAGGAAGTAAACATAACTGAGAATGTCCTACACAACCAAGAGTCTCTGAGGACTAATATACGTCTGTCGTGCACCAGTCTCCAAACAGTAGCAATTAACAGCACTGTTTTGTTCTTCAAATGTCTTATGCTTGAACCAGCTGACAGGCAGTCACACAAACCTGCCAGACCTTTGGCATATCGACTTTAGAACAGGTATATCTAAAATAGATTATTTCGTAATAATAGACTGTCATTGAAGAATTAGGCCTAATTGAAATAATGGCAGTCTCTGTGAACAGCTGCACAGAATACACTGGGAAAAATAGTGGAAAATGACTATAATCAGAATGTCTGTAATAATAAGCACACTAAACTGAGTGTTTCACAGACAGAAAATGAAGCACACTATACGGTTTTGCTTGGGGAGATGTAGTTTGTTGCTAGCAAGTCTCTCAAACAAAACTATGACTAAGGATTTGATGCCACTAACCTGACTGTGGTAGTGTTGTTATTGTTAACTAAAACTAAAGTGACCAAAAAAAATGTAATTGAAATAAAACTAAAATAAAATATTAGATTTAATTTTTTACCAAAAATATGTGTTTCTTTGGCAACTTGAAGCAAGTTTAAATACTAAAATGACCAACTAAAAATAAAAGCTAAAAAAGACTTCACATAAAAAAGTATAAAATAATACAAATGACAAAACCACGTAAAATTATTAAAAGGTAAACTACTTAAATTGAATTCATATGAATAAATATACTATAACAGAATATATAAATATTGTTAAAATAACACTGCACTGGTAATCATTGGTTCCTCATTGTACCTTGTAAACATCGCTTTGTATTCACCCTGGTCCATTTCATTTATGTGTTATTAGGGGCTATTGGTGGTTGTTGTGCCATTGCTTCTGGCTGGGATTGTATGGTAACCCATACTGTTGTAAGACAAGCTGATTGTAGTGGGTCTGAAAACACTGCAGGCTAATCAAGCTTAACTTAAACATCTTAAATTAAGTCTAAGTCTCTTTTATTGATTGTCTTTTGTTGAGTCTAGATATACCAATTGTTTCCCAAGGTCGCCCATTTTTATCTCACCATCATTTTAAATTTTATTGCAAACTGCTGTGTCTTGTCGGTGTGACTAATCAAAGTCAAGCATCATTGACAACATGTTGTAAGGGTACCTGAGCAATTTGAGGATACAATCACCTAGTTATCACCTTTTTTGCTGCTACTACAAGAGACTGGGCTCAATAGATCTTCAAAACATGGCAGAAGAAAACAAATCAATGTTTTTGCCCAAAACAATGTGGATGCAGTAGCAACAGCAAGTCAAGTTATGGCAGAAGGTTGTTGGTTTCAACCCTCATGTATAGATTTGCAATGCACATTCTTTTTTTTTGTTTAGCAACAGGCACTGCAAATGTTGTAACTTCATAAGTTTTTATTGTATTTTTTTTATTATCATGATGAATTTGAATAGGCACATAATTTAGAATCTACTTGGACGTGTTTGGGTAAAGCTGGTGCTATGAAGATCGTTGGGTCAGTTTAATGCATGTCGGCATCATGTTACATTGGCTGGCGTTTGACAGGAACCCTTTGTGTCCGAGATAATGGCTTTGTTACTTTTTTCTGACTGTCATCAGCTGCCTGGTACTGTATATCGATAAGTATCTCATTTTCCATTCTCCAGCAGTCTTATCAATCGCTGATGGCCATCAGAAAAACACCTGCTTGACTGGAAATATATGGGTAAACTGAAACTGCCTTTCCCATGTTTTTTTCCATAGTCTTTCATCACAGTTTCTCTGTCACCCTGCACCTCTACTTCAATGAACTCTGTATTTGTCAGGTCTTTGTCGATCCTGCTATACAGTGGGTACGGAAAATATTCAGACCGCCTTAAATTTTTCACTCTTTGTGATATTGCAGCCATTTGCTAAAATCTAATTGCTAAATTAATTTTTTTTCCTCATTAATGTACACACAGCACCCCATATTGACAGAAAAACACAGAATTGTTGACATTTTTGCAGATTTTTTAAAAATTGAAAAACTGAAATATCACATGGTCCCAAGTATTCAGACCCTTTGCTCAGTATTTAGTAGAAGCACCATTTTGATCTAATACTAATAATTTGGGGATCCTCTCCCATTCCTCCTTGCAGATCCTCTCCAGTTCTGTCAGGTTGGATGGTAAACGTTGGTGGAGAGCCATTTTTAGGTCTCTCCAGAGATGCTCAATTGGGTTTAAGTCAGGGCTCTGGCTGGGCCATTCAAGAACAGTCACAGAGTTGTTGTGAAGCCACAACAGCTGTGTGCTTAGGGTCATTGTCTTGTTGGAAGGTAAACCTTCGGCCCAGTCTGAGGTCCTGAGCACTCTGGAGAAGGTTTTCGTCCAGGATATCCCTGTACTTGGCCGCATGCATCTTTCCCTCGATTGCAACCAGTCATCCTGTCCCTGCAGCTGAAAAACACCCCCACAGCAGGGTGCTGCCACCACCATGCTTCACTGTTGAGACTGTATTGGACAGGTGATGAGCAGTGCCTGGTTTTCTCCACACATACCGACAGCTCCTTCCTCTTGAACAATGTGCAGATTAGCAAGCTCAGCCATGCACTTCACAGTAACCTGATCCACCTCTATGTGAGTGTGCGGGAAGTCAGAGAGGGTACTGTTGGTGCTCAGGGACATGGGACATGTGGAATCATAGAGGGACACTTGTGTAGGCTGGAAAATTGGCAGAAAGACTAGCGTTTGACACATTACGGGGTTGAGATGGTCACACTATGCTTGAATATGCACAGATGTTTCATTTTTAATTGCATACCAATGTTTCCATTTGGTTAACTTATATTTTTGGCCGATAGAAGACCTGGAACTAAAGTGATTAAAGGAGTAGTTCATGCAAAAATTTACTTTTACTCACCCCCAGGCCATCCAATAGGTGGATGAGTTTATTTTGGAAAAGATTTGGAGAAATTTTGCTTTTCATCACTTGCTCACCAACAGATCCTTTGCAGTGAATGGGTGCCATCAAATGAGAGTCCAAACAGCTGATAAAAACATCACAGTAATCCACAAAGTCTTGTGAAATAAGTGAATAAATTCATTGTTAAGATGTTTTTAACTTCAAACTGTTGCTATCTAAAATACAAGTCCTCTATCCCTAGTATTGCTTTCTCCAGTGAAAAAGTCATCTCATCTGAATCAGGAGTGAAATATGCACAGGTGGACACGGTGGATTTTGATGTGAGAGGGCAACAAGGGATGAACGTTTTCATTGGAGGAAGCATTATTATGGATAATGGACTGTTTTGGCCAGAAGCCTTTGTCCTTAATGATATATTAAGGACAGCTTTTCACTTCAGAAAGCGTTAATTGATGGACTGGAGTTGTGTGGATTACTTGTGGATTATTGTGATGTTTTATCAGCTGTTTGGACTTTGATGCGGCTGGTCTGAGATTAACTACTTGAGACCTGATAGCATGTTCCAAAACACTACCAGCTTGATTTTCCAGCAGGAACAAAGAAGTGGTGTTGGTTGGTATATTTTAAAATGTTAAAATTTCTCATAATTTATGATTGATACAAAACAGAAGACCTAGGTTGTGACATCATATCCTGTTGCCTGTATTCTCCCATTGGAGTCTAATAGACCAATTCGGTGTTTTGCAAACAGTGAAGACATTTTTGTGGGCGGAGCCTATCTGGTGGCAGAAAATAAGAGTTCTGTCAGGACCACTATCGTCAAAATGATAGATACTTAGCATAAAGTTTGGTTTGGTGGTATGGTTCTGTGCTGGGCAAAAACCTCCCTGCCCATCCATGCAGTCTGTCATGAATGAGCAGGGAGAGCAGCAATAATAACCCCCCTAGGGTTAACAGAACAGAACAAGGCAGATATCATTAATGTACTTAATGATATTTAAGTGTAACACTTTATTCAAGATAAAGGAGTCTGATTAGGAAGGAATATCAGAAAGCCAATTCCTGACTGTGGCGAAAGGAGGAGCTGGGGATGGAGGGGGGTAATTTGCTCCTGAGCAAGCTGAAAAGCTGCAGAATAATACTGAATAGAGCTTATATAGGAATGCCGCGATAGGTATCGTATTCCTATAGGTAGATGTGATCAGCTGAGAATCAGCTGATGCAAGCTTGACTCACGTGACCTGCCAGAACTAACGCTAACGCTTAATTTTTCAAGTAGCAGTCTATGGAAGAAAAATGAATAAAAGAATAAAAAAAAGGTAAATTTGAGTTTATATTTCAAAACTCTGACTTTATTTGCACAATTCTGAGATTATATCTCAATTCTGATAAGAAAAATCAACTCGTCTTTCTCTCTTTTCCCCTTGGCTCAGAATCATGAGTTTATATTCCTGACTTCTGTCCGAACTAGGAGATATAAACTTGCATTTATGAGAAAAAAAGTCAGAATTGTGTGTTAAAAGGTAAATGTTATGTAAAATGTTAATAGTAATAGGTTTAAATAGTATTTCATGCTTTAACTCTAAGGCTAAACCAATATGTCCCCTAAGAACTGCATATGTAAATATTATGTAGACCTATTGTTAAATCAAATTTATGCTATAAAAGTAGAGTAATCATAGCATTTTTCATCCATAGTTGGTCCATTTAAATGTCTACGTTTAGCTTCAAATGGCATCTTTGAAGACGGTACTCTATAAAAATTATTTGCATTCCGATTCTGGCATCCAAAGGCACAAAAATATATATATTTTTTATTCCATGGATTTTACCCATTTCGCTCCACTTGTTACCAGTGTTTTTCTGCCACCACAATGCGCACACAGCTGTAAGTAATGTAACTGTGACATCTACTCCAGATTGCTCTATTTAGTTCTGTATGCTTAAAGTGTAATGTGACCTCACCTTTTCTATCGCCCACATGTAAACCGAATAAGCAAATTAATGCAAGTAAAGAGTGTTTATTTACATTTGACAGAAGACACTTGGCAGACTATAAATAAAAGCTGTGCCATGCTGTTGGAAGGATGTGAAGGCAAGAGATACAGCAGCCAAATTGAGATTCACAACCATAGAAACCCTCACAGAAAAAGCCCTCCATAGTCAGCTGTGGAGCTTCTCGGCCTGCAGGGATCCTGGAGTAGTTCTCCTCCAGACGTTGTGATCACTTCCTCCTGCAGGAAAAGCAGACCATCAGCTAACAAAACCAACATCAGTCCTGGGATATCCGAGCATCGCTATCAATCCTCTGCATCAAACACACAGATGGAAGGACAGGTGTGCTCGCCACATCTACAGTATGTTCCTCTTGCCCCATGGGGTCTGCAATCGCCTCATGAGCATGTTTGTCAGTCGCGTTACGACAGTAGTACAATTCTGTAGTTCCAGCTTACCTTATGGAAGTCGATGAGGTCAGCTAAGGTGGCGTGACGGTTCTGGTCTACACCTAGGAAGCTGTAATAGTCACCCGATGCGTCAATGAGGAAGTGCTTGAAGCCCAAGGTGGTGCGGTAGGACAGCGTGTAGCCCCAGATCCATTCACTCACTCTGACCAAGAAACAGCCCTCTGCTGCATTCGCTAGCAAAGCCTCTGACTCCTGCCGTGATATTATTCCTGCAGAGGCAGGAGACAAGTGACAGTGAGAAAGACAGATGGAGAGCCGGAGACGGGACAAGACAAAGTGACAGACAGGAAGAGGCAGATATGGAGAGAGATTGAGTGAGAGTGCGACTGGAAGTGCAGGTGTTGTGCTATGATCTTAAAGTGATGCTGGCAGCGTTCTCGTGTTTCCTGGTCGAATGGCGTCACTCAGATAGCCGTTAATCTTATCATTGTCCAATCAGAGGCCACACACTGTGGCTCCAATCATCCTGGCACAAGCAGTGAATTTATTGAGTTTTTCTGTCTGCCTCTCTTTTCCTCTCTCTGTCTCTTTCATTATTATTTTCTCGATTTAATCGATGTCTTTCCTTCACTGCAACCACTAAACTACTGCCCGTTCCCACTAAACTGTGACTTCTGAGTTCATTTCTAAAAATACATCAGAGGCTTTTTTACGTGACTCCTGTCAACATCGCCCCAGTGCATTGAACTCTTTGGAGTGCATCAGCGGTACCCTAGCACCGGTCAAGCGCTGTAATGTGTTACTTGAAGTTCAAACTATTTCAACTCCAACTTCAACTGACCCCGCTTGCCACTGACCTTTTGAAGTGCAGTCAATGGTTAACAGACAGTTTTCATGATGTGTCTTTGCAATCTTTTGAAATCCTTTTCAGTCTTTTTCTTGCTTTCGACCAATGCTTGTAATTTTTCATACATGATTTTGCCTCTTTTGCCTCTTTCATCTGTCTATCCATTGCGATTCAAAAGTTTGTGGGCAGATTTTTACTTTTTTAAGAAGTCTCTAATGCTCAAATAATACAGTAATATTGTGAAATATTACAAATTGTAAAAAATATTTTCTACATATATATAATATAATATATATGTAATTCATTCCTTTGATGGCACAGCTGTATTTTCAGCAGTCATTAATCCAGTCTTCAGTGTCACATGATCCTTTAGAAATCATTCTAATATGCTGATTTGGTGCTCAAGAAACATTTCTTATCAAAAATGCTGAAAACAGTTGTGCTGCTTAATATGTTTATGGAAATCATGACTTTTTCAGGATTCTTTAATGAACTGAAAGTTAAGAAATGTCTTTCTGTCATTTTTGATCAATTTAATGTGTCCTTATGGAATAAAAGTACTCATTTCGTTAAAAAAATCTTAGATATTTTAATATTTTTTAAGAATTTGTCATACTTTTTGCTGTTATCCAACATTTATTTGCTAATTATATTTCTGAAATTGTCAATGTTTATGTGTTGCAAAATGTCAACCCCCATGTGATGTGTCCTTTGCTTTCATAGTTTATTGTGTTAATGTTAATGTTAGTTTGCAATCTCATGAAATCCCCCTAACATGATGCTATCTACTTGTGTGGAGATCAAAGGGTCAAAACATGATGCTTGTATTAAAACCCTCATGTGAGCTGTGAAGGGCCTTAGGGAAGGGAACGTTCTAGCCGTCTTTACCGTGGAACCAGGCTGCGATGGTGTTGCTACTTCGCTCATATCCCGCTCGTCTCGGTCTCTGTTCCTCTTCAAACCAGCGGATGATGGATTCATGAGAGTTCGGCCTGGGTGGACGAATCCAGACTGGGCTGAAAGGCAATGGAAGACAGTATTGTGATGTGTAGTTAGCATGCAAATCTTTCATTATTTGTTTTACTTTCTGTATGAGGGCGGTATGTTTTGTCCAAAATGTAATTTCCTCCATATTGACTTCTTGTTCCCTAAAAACAATATCACACTCGCAAAAAATAAATGGGATATGGTCGAGATCATTTATTATTGATTTGATTATTGATTTACCATTCCGTGAGCGACTGTGTGACTGGACTGCAGTAATGTCGGTGTTGTCTGCGCCTGTAATGGCCTGAGGTAAGTTGACCAGAACTAGCTGTAGGTGAATGGCTGGCCTCAGCTGGAGGGGTTGGATTTTCGATGACTGCGCCGTGCCGTCGGTTGTGACCCGATCCGTTCAGGTGTGTCTTATGGAACAGGCCGCTGAGTCCAGCCACCAGGCCCTTCTCGATAGCCCGCAGAGACTGGCGCTTGTATTCATCTCTAGCCCGCCGTGCCTTGCACTTCATCTCCTCATCCGCCACCTTGGAGCGTCGCACTGTGGGAAGCGGAGAGGAATTTGAATAAAAACAAGCTACTTTGTATTAGAGCCAAAACTACTCATTTTCTTTCCCATTCCATTTGTTCTCTCACATTGTTCCTGCCATTCTTTGTCATCTCTCTCTCTCCTCTTTTCCTCCTGCTTCAGAGAGATGTACAGCTCTTTTGCTCTCCTCTCCTCTGTTTGGCTGATTTCTTCCTCGCCTCTCTGTCTCTCTTCCTCCTCACATTTCTGTGAAAAAAGGAGAAAGAATCAGCCCTAGCTAACACAAAGGCACAGAAGTTTCACTTCGGCTTGCTTTAGTTGTCTCATCTTCGGTGAATATAAATGATTAATTTGGTCGACGATGTCATTAACCCAAACATCAGTGCTTTCAACTCTATTATAGATCAGGCATACAAATGTTGGCCTTGTGTCTCAGAGATCACTATCTACATTCTGAGAGGTTGCCAACTTTTAAATAATTCACTCTCTGAACATGGAACACATAGTAATTAAGCCTAATTAACCTCAATCTCTATTATGAGACTATGATTAAAGGCCTGGTTGAAGAATAAATGCAAGGACCCTTAACTATTGGATATCTTGTCAAAATCGAGTCACTGAGATCCCGATTGGTATGCTTTTTTAGGGGCTTATACATTTATTATAAAGGGTGCTTTAAAGGTAGTTATAATAAGTAGCAGTCACGCATGAAAAAAAGGAAGTAAATATTAATATATGTATGCATAAGACGTGTTAATAAGACCAACTCGTTTTATTTGAGTAGAAATTAGATACTGCTATCAATTTTATTAATACAAATTGTTTTTTATTTTTATTTTATATATCTGTGTTTTATTTTTAGTTATATAGGTTTTATAATTATGGGGTGTTTTTGTCATTTTTTAAAAATGTGTATTGTTTTTATTCATTTTTTACTTAGTTTAGGTTTTAGCCATTTTAGTACATTAAGTTAAACTAAGCACAAATAAGAATTGTTTTGAAACTAGCTGAAATAAAATGTTTATGCATTATTTTATTTTATTTCAGGTAATGTTTATTTTATTTCAAGTAAAAATTAGTTTTAGTTGTAGTGTATAAACTCTAATTTCTTGTTGCTGTTTTAGTTATGCTGCACTGGCTAGTTAGACAGATGTCTTATAATGCATGACTGAATTCATGTGTGAGTTTTCCACATATTTTTCAAAAGCATTATTCATTACAGTCTTTATTTGTACAATTTTTAATGAGGACAAGTGCACTTTTAAAACCAACTTGGCTTTAATATCTGAGGGAACACGAGGCATGACGCTGTATTTGATGTTTTGTTTAGAACTATCACCCTTTCAAAAGATGATAACATATTCTGTGTTTTTGTTTTTACTCAAAGGAACATATTCCAGCCAAACCCACCTTCAGTTCCTCTCTAATGCGATCTTCCTCTTCTTCCTGCTTGGCTGCCTTTCTGTCATCTGTCTCCTCCTTCCATTTTTCTGCCACGAAGCGAGCCTTTTCCTTCGCCATGGCATCTCGAAACTTCTTTTCAATCTCTGCCTCCTTCACACGCCTCAGGAAATTCAGCAGGGGTTGAGTGATGCACTTTCCATCCCTCTGTACTTCTATCATTATTACCCTACACCCCCTCCCTTCTCTCTCTCTCTCTTTCTCTCATTTTTTAGCTGAATCACATCTGTCAATCCACCCCTAATATCCCACTGCTCCCTTCCCTTGACCCTGTCCCATGGTTCTCTCACCGAAGTTCCTGTGCCTCTCGCTGGGCCTGCTTCACTGCTCTCTCCTCCATCAGTTCTTCCACAATGTCTTCAAAGGGCTTGTCCCCCGGGGCCTCCCCCATTACCCATACCCACACCTCTCCATCTGAGCCCAGAAGCCACTGAATGCCTCTGCGGTTGCCTGGGAAGAGACAGTAAACGACAAATATGAAAAAAAAACATCTTTCCTCCACTTTCCAGACCCATCACACCGTATTCAGATAAGATAAAGACAAAATAACTCAGACGGCGCGACAAAACTAGAAGAGATTATCCTACTGGGATCCTCTGTATGCTGCGGGAACATGACAACTGAACAAGATAATGCAAGAACTTTTGAAAACAAGGGGACATTACCTGTCAGCTCACAGACACAATCAGTGATGCCCTCTGATGCAGTGAGATTGCACTTGCAATATGATGTAAACCTAATCTTGCTCATTTGCACCACTGCCTTAAAGTTGAAATGTGTCGTTTTATAGATGTACTTTCTGAAATACTTTCTCCTACACCTCTTTAGTATGCAACGACACCAGATACACCATTCGTAGACTGATTTACCCAGAAAGTATGAACACTGTGGCTCTGTGGTGCTTTCAGGACAATGCTGTCTTTCAGCATTCGAACCAGACCTATGCAGCAATATTGGTTCTGTGGAGTTTGAGGGAGTTTGTAAGTTTTCAAACCTGTTTTAAAACAATGTGATTATTTTTCATTTGGTGAGGCTAATGGAACAAAATTACACACTTTAAACTCACAACACAATCTATGAAGAAATTGTTTTCTATGTCATTTAGAAAAAAATATATAATGACTTAATAAGGGCAAAATAATTTGAAACTACTGAATACTAACTTGGAATATCAAACATCACAAATGTTTTTAGAATTGCTAATACTAAGAAATAATTCCTCAGCACCAAATCAGCATATTAAAAGACTGGAGTAATGACAGTTATGTTTAATAGTAAGAATATTTTGTAATATTACTGTTTTTTTAAACTGTATACAGGCTTGGTGGACATCACTGACCGCAAACTTTTGAATGTTAGTGTATATATGAAGACCAAAGGGCATTATTATCTACAGAATTTATTTAATAATTTTGCATTACCAATGATAAGAAATGACCAAATACATGATATTTAAAACCAAACAGTGCTAAAGCTTTTCTAAGGACTAATATTTGTTTTGAAAAGTGTGCTTGTGTTATCTTTCTTTAAAGCGAGCCTTTTCCTTCGCCATGGCATCTCGAAACTTCTTTTCAATCTCTGCCTCCTTCACACGCCTCAGGAAATTCAGCAGGGGTTGAGTGATGCACTTTCCATCCCTCTGTACTTCTATCATTATTACCCTACACCCCCTCCCTTCTCTCTCTCTCTCTTTCTCTCATTTTTTAGCTGAATCACATCTGTCAATCCACCCCTAATATCCCACTGCTCCCTTCCCTTGACCCTGTCCCATGGTTCTCTCACCGAAGTTCCTGTGCCTCTCGCTGGGCCTGCTTCACTGCTCTCTCCTCCATCAGTTCTTCCACAATGTCTTCAAAGGGCTTGTCCCCCGGGGCCTCCCCCATTACCCATACCCACACCTCTCCATCTGAGCCCAGAAGCCACTGAATGCCTCTGCGGTTGCCTGGGAAGAGACAGTAAACGACAAATATGAAAAAAAAACATCTTTCCTCCACTTTCCAGACCCATCACACCGTATTCAGATAAGATAAAGACAAAATAACTCAGACGGCGCGACAAAACTAGAAGAGATTATCCTACTGGGATCCTCTGTATGCTGCGGGAACATGACAACTGAACAAGATAATGCAAGAACTTTTGAAAACAAGGGGACATTACCTGTCAGCTCACAGACACAATCAGTGATGCCCTCTGATGCAGTGAGATTGCACTTGCAATATGATGTAAACCTAATCTTGCTCATTTGCACCACTGCCTTAAAGTTGAAATGTGTCGTTTTATAGATGTACTTTCTGAAATACTTTCTCCTACACCTCTTTAGTATGCAACGACACCAGATACACCATTCGTAGACTGATTTACCCAGAAAGTATGAACACTGTGGCTCTGTGGTGCTTTCAGGACAATGCTGTCTTTCAGCATTCGAACCAGACCTATGCAGCAATATTGGTTCTGTGGAGTTTGAGGGAGTTTGTAAGTTTTCAAACCTGTTTTAAAACAATGTGATTATTTTTCATTTGGTGAGGCTAATGGAACAAAATTACACACTTTAAACTCACAACACAATCTATGAAGAAATTGTTTTCTATGTCATTTAGAAAAAAATATATAATGACTTAATAAGGGCAAAATAATTTGAAACTACTGAATACTAACTTGGAATATCAAACATCACAAATGTTTTTAGAATTGCTAATACTAAGAAATAATTCCTCAGCACCAAATCAGCATATTAAAAGACTGGAGTAATGACAGTTATGTTTAATAGTAAGAATATTTTGTAATATTACTGTTTTTTTAAACTGTATACAGGCTTGGTGGACATCACTGACTGCAAACTTTTGAATGTTAGTGTATATATGAAGACCAAAGGGCATTATTATCTACAGAATTTATTTAATAATTTTGCATTACCAATGATAAGAAATGACCAAATACATGATATTTAAAACCAAACAGTGCTAAAGCTTTTCTAAGGACTAATATTTGTTTTGAAAAGTGTGCTTGTGTTATCTTTCTTTAATAAATGCCACTTGGTTTTCTAATTTGTTATCTAACATTTTTAAGAGTGACTTAAATGTCAAAATATTCCTTGTAACAACTACACTCATGTTTCATTTGTAGACTTTATCAAATAAAGGTACAAAATGAACCCTGGACTCACTTTTCTTTTTCACAGCATGGCTTGGATCTCTTCTCTCGCTCTCATTCCAGCGTCGCACCTGCTCCTCCCGAATCTTGTAGAAGAGGATCTGTTTCTGCTCTTCGTTGAGTTCAGCCAACAGGTCAGGCTCTATATACATATCCTGAAGAATCTGCTGCATCATCCTGACAGCCTGCCAGGTATATGTCTCTCTCGACTCCTTTGACCTTTGTCTGTAGTCACCGCAGACTGCAAGCCCAGGTGTCTGTCTGTCTCTCAGGATCAGTCTTCACTGCCTGAGGAAGGCCCAAGGTGTGTTCAGTGTAATGCACAGCTGATCTGAAGCTCTTTTTGAGGGTGTCATAACAACTGTGAGCCCTCTACTTCCTATCACCCTCTATTTGATATACCTCTCTGTTCAACAAGTGTTGATCACAACTGCATCCCTTCCTTTAATCTTGACCCAAGTATGGTCTCTTTCTCTCCACTTCTCGTATGCTGCAGTGGTGTTTTGTTCTTGCGTTTAGATCCTTTATGGGGTTTAATTTCACCCTCTCCCCCTCTCTATCTGTCTCCTGCAGTGACCCTACAGACCAGGTGTGTCTGACACTGCTACCTGTGTGTGACAGCTCGAAGTGATTTTGTTCAGCTCCTTTGCAGGTTAAAATATGTCTACGGATATGATTTTGTGATGAATTGACTTATATAGAAATAGTTTTCTCTAGGCTACACCCGTATGTCTCAACAGTTATATTAAATGGCAGATTGATATCAACAATATGCAAGCAATTACTCAGTGAGGTCAAATTATGAAACAGACATACTATTACGAAAGAAGAATTTATATGTAATTATGGATGCAACATGAACATTTGGGATAAGATGTGTGTGTGTGTATGTGTTTGTGTGTGTATGAGTGTATGTGGGCATTTTATCTGACCTGTCCCTTTCTCCCTACCTTTTCATGGTGTAATCTTACATCTGCGACTCATATTGCCATAGCTCTGCACTAGCAGATGGTGTTAACCCACCCACACCCCCCTCTTTTAACCCTGGACACCAGGTAGTCCTTGAGAAGACAATAATGGCCTTAAAGGGACTTTGGTTCGCCGTATAATTATTTGTTTGAAGCTTAATTTATGAGGTCCCATTGTCTAGTTTTATTGGTTACATTTAATATACATTTATTTGTTCACATGCTGTTTAATGATGTCAGCATAATTGACAACTTTATTACTTTTGTGCCAAATAAATACTGCTCTGATTGCATCCGATCATTATGGCGTTTGATTGTTGTATATTTAAAAATATATTGCCTCTCAGTGTGAAATAGACTGAATAACATTGATGTAGAAAAAAAATTAACTCAGAAATTGCTAGTAAATTTCACAAATAATTGCAAATCGGCAAGTAACACATTGAATTAAACAAGACTGAAATAGTAAACTTAAAAAGATACATTTAAACTAAACAGATAAAAAACTATATCCCTGAAATCAAAGACACACAGTGTTGGGGGTAAAATGAGTTACGTAATCAGATTACTTTTTCAAGTAAAGTACCGTATTACTTTTTCAAATAAATAATAAGTAATTATAATCTCACTTGCACAAAAACATATTGAGTATTCCTCAAAATGAATAAAAGTGAAAAACAAACTCAGAATATTCGCAAACCTGCAGTAATTACGTTAATTATATCACATAAATACTTTATGTATTTAATCTCATTTTATTAAGTGTCTTTGCTGCAGAGCTTCAGTGATCCAATTCATCAATACTAATAAGGAAAAATGACTTCAGACATTAGAACATGATATTTGTGATTCTTCTTTTTTTGTGATTGATTAAGGAGAAAGTGTTCAACTTTCTTCTTTTGCATCCTATTCTTCATGCAAGACAGAACGGTGTGAAAACGCTTTTTTTCTCTCTCACACTTTTGGTGTGAAAGGGATTTAACATTTGCCAAAAAATAGAACAGAAATAGAAAAAGTAAAGCAAAAGTATCATAATGCAGTTAGTTACTTTTTTAGGGAGTAACACAATATTGCGATGCATTACTTTTAAAAGTAACTTTCCCCAACACTGAAGACACACTACAACAAAAAACGTCACCTGGGACTCTGGAATCTGTCAATTTACAAGTTTGAACAAACCAGTTCACTAGAATGAGTCAGGATTTCCAGAGCTATGAGGTCGGTTTAGGATGAACTGATTCAGTATAATGTATCAGGTATGATAGAGGGCTATTAGGACAAAATGATTCACTAGACTGAATCAAACTTTCCAAAGCTACATTTGAGAGAAGGAAGACAAACCCATTCACTAGAATGAATACAAATATGACATTAATAAACACTGCTAATCGTTCTGCAAGCTGCATTTATAGAAATAGCAACTGCAACTCTTGAGAGTCAATCGGATTTGTTACAGGCACAAAATAAAATGATCATATACTGTATGTCTATATGTTAAAAAAAACCTTAAAACTGATATATACACAACAGATGTTTTTATTTTATTTGCAGTTTTGTTTCATTTTCACACAATTAATGCAAATGTTCTGAAAGCTTTGATTGGATGGGCCCTGGCCTTTATGTGCCACATCCTGCAGTTTATTTGCTTGGACAAATAAGAAGCTCGACACGCTACATTGTCAAAGCAGCTTCCCCATCACTGGCTCTGTGTATTGTAATTGACTTTCTGACATCAGTATTTTCATCTTCATGTCTCTCTTCACCTCTTGTCCCTTACTGCCCTTTGGACCTGATTTCTACAAGGGGCTTTTCATGTTCTGCATAAAACCCCCCTGACCTCGTAATTACTCTTCTCTCTCCTGACTATTATTCTAGTGTCACTTATTCATCCTGGCCACTATTAGCCAAAGGGAACAGGGAACAAGTGCGAGTGAAACAGAATAAAGAATGAGCAGAAGAGAGAAAGCAAATGAACAAATTAATGCATTTGGTAATTGTCAAACTGAAACGTTTTAGGGAAATTTTACATTCAAAAACACTACAGCGGTAATATTTTCACATTTGTTGAAACCTGTCAAAGAGGCTCCTTCGTTCATGGGAGAACTCCAACACAAATGCTAATTACGCCATTGATGTACTAATCATGTCTAACAGTGAGACTCGTTATCAAATACAATTAATCAAAAACAAAACCCTGTCATGCCTGTCCAAAGCTCAGTGTTTTCACTAACGCAGCTAAATCATGGTGGGCGAATTTGAGCAAAGATCAAGACTAATTATGTCATTTAGCCTTTCGCACCACACAGCCAGCACTCCGCGTGTTTACTTTCCTTTCAAACTCACCGCGGCTTTCCGCTCATCCCCGCAGACTTGCGACCTGAGAGGGCCTCGCTTCCATTATGCGGAAAGCAGTGGCTTTTAAAATCACTACTGCAGTACACAACATTATCAAAGATGTGTGTTGGATGTTTATGTCAGTGCTGCTTAATAAAACAGCAGCTCTTTTCATCTTCATCTGATGACCTGTCAAGCCAAATTGGCCCTTATAGACAGTAGAGGACTGAGAGGAGCTGGTTTCCATGCGAGGCCATTAAATAATGATTGCTGTGAATCTTGCATCTAGATTGATATTTGGTGTTTATCTAATGCAGCACAGCAACATACACTGAACTTGTTTGATCTTTACTGTCATGGAGTATTTTTAATGCAGGCTTGAGCATAAAAACTAGTCACTTCCTAAAGTGAAGGATGGAGAAGAGGAGATTAAGATCTGCATTGACAGCTGTCTGGCACTGCTAGGAACTGTGGGATTGTGGGTTGCTGTATCCAGCAATTTCCACTAGAGGCCACTGTTTTTCAGTGCAACCACAGTAGCGCGGTGTAACCCATCGTTTCACCAAGTACAACATGTTCCTGGATCAACATCCTTGTTGTAGGGTAGGGTTAGGGATTGGGTTTAGTCTATATTTTTGGACAGTAATGTTACAGCTTTTCAACATCACTTTGTCTCAGTAGTCGAGGTTGTACACATACACACATTTATTTGTCTATGGATTTTGCTTGTGTTTACCTAAAACAGATTATTTTGCTTTAAAAATATATTTTATATTTATGGATTATATTTTATATTTGAAAAAATTATGTTGGAAAATGTATTGTCTACATGTAACTACTAGCCATATATAGTAGTATTGTTTTGTACAGTATTTTTTTTGTTATATGTGGTATTTATGTTTTTGTTTTGTTTTATGTGGTAATGTGTATGGGCTATGGTAATTTCTGGTCATATGTTTTAGTGACAGTATTATGAAAATTTTACTAATGTGTATTTTAACCACATTTATTTACAGCAGTTTAAGTTTCAGTAAACTTATATTTAACATAAGACGTTTATGGTTTATTTTGAGCTGGATGTGAGTAAAAGTAAAGATTTGCAGCTCAGCGAGTTAGAAAAGGCAGTTTTTCAGCGACCTTGACCTATTATGTGAGTGAGTGAGCCGTTTAAGAATGATGAGTTCTTTAGATATGCAGACGAGTTGAATACATTCACAGTAATAGGCTAACGCATCCTCTATGTTAGGCTATGGTAATTTCTGACAGTATTATGAAAATTTTACTAATGTGTATTTTAACCACATTTACTGTATTTACAGCAGTTTAAGTTTCAGTAAACTTATATTTAACATAAGACGTTTATGGTTTATTTTGAGCTGGATGTGAGTAAAAGTAAAGATTTGCAGCTCAGCGAGTTAGAAAAGGCAGTTTTTCAGCGACCTTGACCTGTTATGTGAGTGAGTGAGCCGTTTAAGAATGATGAGTTCTTTAGATATGCAGGCGAGTTGAATACATTCACAGTAATAGGCTAACGCATCCTCTATGTTGCTATTGTAGTTTAACTATATTTGACCTATGACCTCCTAACAACAACCGCGAAAATTGTGTACGAATTTATTTAACGACGTTCAGGAACTGTTAGATCGTCACGAAATGAATTTGATTCTGGTGTTGTTTTTAAATGGAGCAGTTCTCAATTCCCAGGCTTACTCAGTCGAGTCTGCACCACTGCTTTTACTCGTTTGTCACAGACCAGCACTGACAGTGTTCACTGGGCTAATACAGAAGCTCCCAGATTGAAACCGCAAAAGCTGAGAAGAATCAGTGGAGATGAAACACAGTTCATGAACAAAGGCACTAAGATGTGACAAGCG